TCCTCACAATGTAAACACAGCCAGGAGCTGATAAAGCACCGATTCTTGACTCTCTAAGTCCGAGCAGCTGGCCAAAGAAACAGTTTTTGATGCCAGTGCAAATGTACAAGGGAAGAAAATAACTCCCGGCACTACTAAATTATACCAAGCCCTGCAGAAATAGACCAAAAAGGCTGACAGAGAAAAAAATAATATTAATTCTTACTCTTGTCAGGAGAAGTCCATGATCTCTCAGAGGCTGCACTTTCCAGAAGTTAGTGTCCCAGCCATGAATGTCACATGGCTGGCTTACAAAACCTGTGGGAGAATAAAAATTATTTTCCTCATATCTTCTAAATTCTAACAGCTGAAATAATCAAATTCACATAATCCAATTAATGGGTATATAATAATCATCTACTACATCTACTAGGAATTCAACATCTACTACATGGGCAAGGGGAATTCATATTAAAATGAATACCAAACATAATGAGGTAATATTGAGTATATGGGGAATTTTGGAAAATGGAAGAACGGAGTCTGAGATTTCAAAGGTGAAGTGGGAGACAGGCAGGTAATTTAGGATAAAAGGCAGCATATCTGATACAGGGCGCAGCCAAGAGGGGGGCCCCAGAAAAGGATTTCGGATGAGGTCCAGAGCTCAGAGTGTCCAAGAAATATTAAGATGTCCTCACCCCCGTGTCAGCTGGGGGAGGGGACGAATGGAGCAGGGCCCTTGAGAGCTGTTTTGCATGGCAACAGTTTTGCAGCTGACCTCTAGAGTGGGCATTTAGCATATCTATAACCTTTGGCAGGTTTCATAGATATGTTAAATGGCTGTGGCCAAGTTTTAAGCCAGGGAGAGGGGAGTCACTTCTACCCAGGATGTAACTAGGGGCTGAGCCCCTGAGTGACAGGGCCTGCGTGAGAGCTTGGAAAAAGATCGGCTCCGGGACATGAGGAGATAACTGCCCAGGTGAGGAGAGGGCCACGTGGTTTGGGGCAGAATGGAGATCCCTGCAGTCAGATGAAAGAGAGAGCCACGCAGTTTCAGCAAAGTAAGGGTCCCCTCTTGGCCAGGTAAAGAGAGAGCCATGTGGTTTCAGCAGAGTGAGGACCCCCTCTAGGTGAGGTGAAAGAGGGAGCCACATGGTTTTGTCAGAGTGCGGACCCCCTCTTTCCCAGTTGAAAGGGAAAATCACTCGGCTTTGCCGGAATAGAGATCCCTGCAGCCAGGTGAAGAAGAAAGCCACATGCTTTTGGTGGAGTGTGAACCCCTGCAGCTTTGGTAGAAGAGGCCCATGTGGCTTTGGGGTGCCCCCTTTGGCCGAGTGACCTGGGAAGCAGGAGAGACTTTGACTGGAACTGGGTACAAAGAACTCTTGCCAGTGGACCATGAGAGGGTACCACAGTACTTTGGATTAACTAGAGATCCTGCCTGACACAGCTGACAATGCCAGCAGCCTGCAACACAGATGTGTGCTCTTTTCCTGATTTATGGTACCCGGAGTTAAGACAGGGGGAGAAGGGAGAGCTGTGTGTGTGCATAGGTGTATACCCTAAAGGACTTTGAAATAGCATTAAATAAACATTTCGTTTCCTTTTCACAAATCTCTGGCATTGAGAGATGTCTTTCCAATTGGTGGTGGACAGAAGAGCCCAGTAGATATTAATTAGTATTCTGTCCTTGGGAGGGGCCCCTGTTCTGTAGCAGTTTTTGGTATCCCTGGGTGGGCCAAATATGCCTCCCCCTCGGCCCTCTTGTTCGTTAACATATCTGCCAGGTTAATTTCTGTTGGGCAACTCCCACAACTTTAAGACACAAGGGGTACAGTAAGAGGGTCAACAAGCTCTTGCTAGGAGTCTTACTTTGTGAAGCTGAGGTGATTGTGCTGAAGCTCTCTCTTCCTAAACCAAACTGTGGCAACTAAACCTCTTAGGAAGAAATGAGATGACAATCTTAAGTAATTTCTCACTCTTCCCTTTCTGAACAGCAAATTAAACATCAATGTGCCAAGTGCAAAATGCTGGCCCTCTCATGACCACCCCTGATACTTTACATAGAAGTTGTATATCCACAAGCTATATTAGTACATCATTCCATATTTCACTGACATAATCATTCAGTTTTGAGAATCAATTTTACTTAAATTGTTAAATCTTATGTAAGTAAATGGTGACATACATGTACTCCTCAAATTCACCCCATATTAAATACCTGACTGCTTGCTTATGTGGTCGGGAAACAACCTTTCCTGGAACCTCAAGAGTCTTTCTGCTGCTCTAATAATCCAACAGGTACAACATAGATTAGCAAGTGAAAATAGCCAAATGTCAGACATACACAGCCAGGACAACCTCACTCACAGGAGAGTCAGAAATCCCACACACAGAAGAGCATAAATGAGGCAGCGATGATGTGAGGGGGCGTGGTCACTTTCTATGACAAAGATCTATCCTTAGATCTGTGGGAACATATTTGAGATGTAAGAAAAGATGTTGGAACAACTGAATGGGAAAAATGTTGGGCCGCCTACATTACATCCTCCACCAAAATCAATTCTTTCATTGATTTCAATAGCCACTCATAACTAACATAAAACACTGAGAGCTATCTAAAACATACCAAGAGATCTAAAGTGAAAGAATGGGGAAAATATACTATACAAATAAAGGAAAGGTTTCTGTCTGGCTGGGAAGTTCATTTCTCCTGGGAGCACAGGGTACCATCTATATGTTGGGGCCTGAGACAGAGAATTTTTCCTTTACTTGACCCTGAGTGATGCTATGTGTCAGCACCCCCACTAATCCCCAAATGCACTTTAGTGAGGTTCCCTTTATGCAGTTTCACAGTAATGATTACAGTTACTTAGCTCATTTCCAGTCCATGGAAATCAAGTTATATTTACATGCTCAAAATGACAAAGAGACACTCTTCCCACTTTCTCCTGTGAAAGCCAGTAGCAGCTACACTGACCCTGCTCTATGGTATGGACCCGTCCTCAAACTTGATATCTTATTTTTATGCAAATTACTTGGTTTTCTCAGTATTTAAAACATTTATTTAGTTTTGTTTCGTTTTATCTTGTTTTTCTGTTTCTGAAATGTTTTTGCACCTGAGTTACTTACACATGCATATTACTCGTAACGCCACCTCTTTGAGATGTGAAATTCTCCCAGTGTGTTTTCCAGTGTACTTATGTCATTTTTTGAGTTTAAATCTTTGAGCCCTCTGGGACTTATTTTGTGTCTGTGAATAGCATGGTGTGAATAATCAGAATTTACTGATTTAAGTTTCCACCGAATGCAATGCAGTTTTGACCGCATGTTCACTGGACATGCATCCCTTGCAAAAGTGGGTTTGACAAAGGAAGGCAAGGACGGGCTTAGAGGAAAGTTGGGGATTCTGACCACAGTCTGGTGGAACAAAGACACTTTGTCAGGCGGCAGGAGGGCAACGTTCACCCTAAAGAGAGGCCTGAGCTCGGAGCTCCCAGCTCCTGTGGGTCGGGTCCCTCGCCAGCGGCTGGGGAACAGCCAAGACACTTTCCCTGCTGCAGGCTGCGTAAGGAGCGCTGGGGAGGGGAGGGAGGTGGACCCAGAGTAGCCAATCGCTGCGGAGTGAGGCGGGTCTTCCGTCTGCCAGTCACTTACGGGGGGCTCCACCCCTGCCCCGCCCTTTCAGCTCCTTCTCCCCGCCCATTGGAGGGCAGGGCTATCCAGGCACAACCTCAGCCCTGGAGCCCTCCCTCCTCCCAAGGGCCGGAAGCCCAGGAGCTCCGAGACGACCCTCCATCATCGAGGTGGGCAGCGCGGCAAGGACCCCCGGAAACTGACAGGTAAGTGGGGAGTCTTGCCACGTGGTGCCCTTAGCCCGAGACCTTCAAAGTCCAGCCTAACAGACCCAGATGCCCTCATCCTGAGGGGCCCCAAATCCCTTCAGCATCGAGGGGCCCACGTGCACTAACCCGGAGGACCCACATCCCCTGACCCCCAATGCTTAGACCCCCAACAGCCCAAAAACCCCACTTCCCCTCAGCACGGGGCACCCTACCTGCAGCTCGCCCGGAAAGACCGAATCTCCCCAAACTCAGAGACGCTAAATGCCGTCGTCCTGGAAACTAACTCAGTGGTGGGGACCCTGAAGCCCCTCGATGAGACGCCCCAAATCTCCTCAGCCGCAGGGCGTGACCCTCCCCCCGGCCTCAGTGTCCTCAGCCCAGAAGACGCAGGATCGGGTCTGAGGGACCCGGAGCCTGTCAGCCTGAGGGACGGCGGTCTGCCGGGGACGCGCCTGCGTCTCGGGCAGGACTCTCCCGATCCCCGGGTGCACCTCCGAGCCCTTCCCCGGAAAAGCGCGTTTCCTGGCGCCCCCACAGGCCCCTCAGACACTCGGGCAGCTGCCCGCTGAGCCTGCGCTGAGGCGGCGAGCAGGGGAAGGGCGGGTCTGCAGGGCCCCCGCGTCCCCCTGTCCCAGTGACCTGCCAACCAGGAGAAAGGCGTTCGGTCCTCTCGGCACCTTCTCCTTCCACAGGCTTCTCGGGCTCGGGGCTGGGACGCCATGAACCCCGATGGGGGCCCTCAGCACAGCCCTGAGGAAGAAGCGGGGCCGAACGCCCCAGGTGAGCTGAGGGGCCGGCGGGGAGCGTGAGGACGGACGCTTGGACCTCGGGGTGACCCTGGCTGTACGTGTGCAGAGCGCTGGTGGGAGAGACGGGACTCCGCCGTAGCGGGAGCCAGGGCAGGACAGACCCTCTCGTGCCTTCTCATTCCCATCACCGAGTTACTGATGTTTCCACTCTCCTCTCCAGGCCGAGGAAGCTTTGGAAGACGCTTCCCTCTACTTCTCCAGGGAGGAGTGGGCAGCGATGGGAGATTGGGAGAAACGCCGGTACCGGAACGTGAAGAGGGATTTCCACGTGCTCACCAGTCTAGGTAGCTGTGTGCTCAGGCGCTGAGCGGGAGGAGCCAAGTGACCCGACAGGCCTCTGGGCTGCCTCCGACTCTGGCGGCTCCATCAGCCTACAGCTCCCACTTGCAAGGACACCAATCAGGGGGCATTTGCTCCTTAGTGTCAGAGCAAGGCTGGTGCTGATGGTGCGGTGCTCACAGCTACTCTCCCATCTGATCGAAGCCAGTCCTATGGGCTTCCTGATGCTTGTTCCTCCTCCGAGCTCTGTGCTTTCAGGACAAAGGTTTTGTCTCTTTCCAGGTCTCAGGGCCCCTCGACCAGCTTTCATGTGTCACCGCAGGCAGGCCACTGAGCTCCAGGAGGAGGACCCTGAGGACTCTGATGAAGAATGGACTCCAAGGCAGCAAGGTGAGGGGCAGGAGGAACCAGAGCTGCCCTCCTGACACAAACCTGGTTTAGGACATAAACCAGGACAGATAAGGACCTGTCCTTATCTCAGGACATAACCAGGGAGCAGGATTTGCTTGTCCAGCTAACACACAGGATGTAGAACAGTGTATCATACAACGAGGGGCTATTGCTGTAAACTTTCAAGTGTGCAACATAATCATATATATTTATAGATACACTAATAAGCAGTAAATGTATAAGAACATACAAGTGAGTAAGAAATAACTAATTGAGAATAGTTGTCATTGCAAGAGAGGGAAACAGGTCTGGCAGGTGAGGAGTGTTCCAACACCTGGCTGCATGATGGCCTGCATGGAAACAGACGGGAATAGTATGAACCATGGTGATTACAGGAGCTGAGGGGAGGGTCAGAGTTGGGAGTAGCTGATCCCTGTATCATTTCCTGATGTTGTCCATGGTGCCGTTCTGTCCAGTATCATGAGTGTTCAGTGGGTAGAGTCAGTCCAATTTCATGGGTCTGGGGTTGAAAGCTGAGGTCAAGATGTGATCTTTAACTTGACTGGAATTCTGTTTCTGTGGTCATCAGACTTTGGATGCCGACCAGAGTCTAAAGATTTAGGAAGGGTGTGGATGGCTAGTATGTGCACAGAGGGGAGGATACCAGAGAAAGGAGGCTAGGCGATCGTGGTGTCCTTAGCCCAGGCAAGGCCAGTTCAAATGAAGAAAACAGGACGGAGAAAGGGTTATGTTGAAGACATGGGGTTTCTGTGCAGTTACTTTTATTACATTTTGGTCAGGAGGAGCCAATTTATTTTTTAATAAATGATAATAGATGCTTTACGAACATAGGAGGAAGCATAGATGACATTTTGTCTTTTTTTTTTATTGATTATGCTGTTACAGTTGTTCTATTCCCCCCTTCATTCCCTTCCACCCTACCCCCCATTCCCACCATTACCCCCCTTTAGTTTATGTCCATGTGTCTCAAGTTCTTTAGATTCTATATTTCCCATGCTATTCTTGCCCTCCCATCTATTTTCTATCTACTGTCTATGCTACTTATTTTCTGTACCTTCTCCCCCTTCTCCTCCTCTCACTCCCCTGTTGCTAAACCTCCTTGACATCTTCATTTCTATGTTTCCACTCCTGATCTACGTGCCCTTTTAGTTTGCTTTTGTTTTAGGTGTGGTTGTTAATAACTGTGAGTTTCCTGTCCTTTCACTGTTCATGTTTTTTTAACTTCTTTTTCTTAGGTAAGTCCCTTTAACATTTCGTATAATAAGGACTTGGTGATGATGAACTCCTTTTTTTTTTTTCCTTTTTTTTTTTCTTTTATTTTTATTTTTTATTTTTTTTATTGATTATGCCATTACATTTGCTCTATTCCCCCCTCCCTTCCCTCCACCCTGCATACCCCTCCCCCACCATTTCCCACTTTAGTTCATGAACATGTGTCTCAATTTCTTTAGATTCTGTATTTCCCCTACTATTCTTACCCTCCCCCTATGTATTTTCTATCTACTGTCTATGCTACTTATTTTCTGTACCTTCTCCCCCTTCCCCTCCTCCCACTCCCCTATTGCTAACCCTCCCTGAGATCTTCATTTCTATGGTTCTGCTCCTGATCTAGCTATCCTCTTAGTTTGCTTTTGTTTTAGGTGTGGTTCTTAATAACTGTGAGTTTGCTGTCCTTTCACTGTTCATCTTTTTTATCTTCTTTTTTCTTAGGTAAGTCCCTTTAACATTTCATATAATAAGGGCTTGGTGATGATGAACTCCTTGAATTTGGTCTTATCTGAGAAGCACTTTATCTGTCCTTCCATTCTAAATGAAAGTTTTGCTGGGTAGAGCAATCTTGGTTGTAGGTCTTTGGATTTCATGACTTGGAATACCTCTTTCCAGCCCCTTCTTGCCTGTAAGGTCTCTTTTGAGAAATGTGCTGACAGTCTGATGGGGACTCCTTTGTAGGTGTCTGTCCCCTTATCTCTTGCTGCTTCTAGGATTCTCTCCTTCAATTTAATTTTGGCTAATGTAATTATGATGTGCCTTGGTGTGTTTCTTCTTGGGTCCAACTTCTTTGGTACTCTCTGAGCTTCCTGGATTTCCTGGAATTCTATTTCCTTTGCCAGATTGGGGAAATTCTCCTTTATTATTTGTTCAAATAAGTTTTCCACTGGTGGCTGTGCCTTTCCCCCTTCTGGTACCCCTATAATTCGGATGTTGGAGCATTTAAAGATGTCCTGAAGGTTCCTAAGACTCTCCTCATTTCTTTGAATTCTTGCTTCTTGACTCTTTTCTGTTTGGCCATTATTTGCTTTCTTCTGGTCCACTCCATTGATTTGAGTCCCAGTTTCCTTTTCATTGCTATTGGTGTCCTGTGCAATTCCATTCATTTCAATTAGTTTCGCCTTCATATATTTGTCTAATTTGTCGGTATAATCAACCAGTTCTGTGAGGATCCTGATGACCAGTGTTTTAAACTGTACGTCTGAGAGTTTTGCTATTTCTTCATCGCTTAGATTTATAGGCTCTGGGGTTTTGAGATTTTCTTGAGCCATTTTTGGTCTGTTCTGGCCCTTTAAGTGTGAGAAGCGGAGCCTTGGACTCCCAGGTTGCTGGGTAGTGACGCTGTATGTGGGGGCGTGGTCACAGCGGGGAAATGGCGGCCCCCTCTGCTGTTTCGTGCCGCTAGGTAAGGAGCAGAGGCTTAGGTGGTTCACCTGGGCTGGGCCACTCAGAGTCGCTGGGTTATGACTCTGTATGTGGAGGTGGGGTCAGAGCAAGGAAATGGTGGCAACCTCCCCGATGCTTGCCGTGGGGACCCGCTGGGTCCTGGTCCAATCGCCCACTCCCTCGCTTGTCTATCTGCGCACCAATGCGCGACCACAGTCAACCCGCAGCCCTGCTCCCTCGCTGTTTCCCTGCGGTTGCTCACTTGGTCGCTTGCTCAGTCGCTCACTAGGTCCCACCCTGGATTCCGCGCACCTGAGTTTGTCTGACCGAGTTTTCCTGTGCAACCCTGCTCCACCAGCTGCTGGTTTTGCCCCTTATCGGTCAGGCTGAAGAATTTGTTGTGAACTGAATTCCGAAAAGTCCAATATTCTGCGTTCTGGCTGTGTTTTCTGTTGCTAATATTTAGTTGTCTCTAAACTTGGTTGTGTGAGAAGGCCCTGCAAGTCCACCTATGCCTCCATCTTGGCAGAAGTCCTCTTTGTCTATTTTTTAATCATTCTCGTGAAATTAGTGGATGGCCCCAATAGAAGCATAGGCCTTAATGATACCTCAGAAAACATTTTCCTATCATCCTGGGATTGTTCTTGGACTACTCATTCAGAAGTCCGTGTCCCTAATACGAATCTTCAGGTTTTGGAAACATTTACCAACCAAAACATTGATTTCTCATCATCTTTCAGTGAAACTTTCTTGGGTGGCCTTCAGAAAGAAACAGAGTAAACACCAGAAGGTGAGTATTTCCCAAATTCTGCTGACAAAAAAATTTTCCCCATGGATAGAAAGGCAGGCAAGAGTAGGAAAATGCAGAAAATATCCTAGGAACTGCTGCCTTTCCTGGTCTTCTCAACACATTGTCCGATATTACCATCTTTTGTTAAAAATTTTATTGATTGATGTTTTAGAGAGAGAGAAAAGGAGGGAGAAAGGAGAGAAGCATGTGTGAGACACACCAGTATGGGTTGCCACTCACCCACCCCCAAGTAGGGAACCTGAACTGCAACCCAGGTGTGTGCCCTGACCAGGAATGGAACTGGTGACCTTCCAGGCTGCAGGCCAGCACTCAATCCACTGAGTCAACCAGCCAGGACTCATCATCATCGTAATAGTTAACGACTACAGCAACCAAAGTAACTACCATTTGTTTCATTCTCACAATGTTTCAGACTTCAAGAATTCTATGTGAATAAACTCACTTAAACATTACAACAACCCAATGAGGTACGTACTATAACTGTCACCATTTATGATGAGGAAAGTGAGCTTTCAGAGATATAGAAAATTTTGACTAGATTTCTCAGATCACAATGTCAGTGGTAGTACAATAACCCACAGTTGCTTCTCTAAACCACTTACGAACTCATTAAAACTTTCAGAGTTTTGCCCTGGCCATCATGACCAGTTGGGTGTCACCCTGCAAAGCCAAAGATCACTGGTTTGATTCCTCGTCGGGGTAGATACTAAGATGTGTGCCAGTTTCCTGGTTGGGGTGTATGTGAAAGGCTACTGATCAATGTTTCTCTCTCTCTCCTTCCCTTCCTCTCTCTCAAGAAAATAAGCACTCTTTTTTTAAACTTAGAAAAATAAACTTTCATAGTTTCTGAAGTTTACATTGTCTCACGCATATGTCATTACATCATTCATCTGACTGTTTCAACCAAAGTTCTCTGCTATGCTGAAGTGAGAGATGCACTAAGACCCTCTGACTAAGGAAAGCGTACAATGTGCAGGCACTTTGTCCAGTGGATGGTCCCAGATGAAGAAGAATGTAAAGTGTTCAGGATCACAGCCTCCCACTCTAATCAAAGACAGCATCACCCACCCCTGAGGAGCTTAAGATTTGATGACTAAGAAACAACATCTAATGAAATGACTTAAGGACTGATGTGGACACTGGCCCCCAGTATTCGTGTCATTATAGATGAAAAGAGACATTCACATGGACTCAGTAGTCCGGTGGAGGAAAAGTGACAGCATGGCTTTTCTCCAAAGGGTAGCAACTTTGTTGGGTTTCTCAGCACATTACGTGATGGTCCTCATTTACTATGCACAGGTTGCTTTAGGTGGTTACCTTTTACAGAGAGCAAAGGAGCCAATAAGGCTAAACACATCACAGAAGAGGAGCATTTGCAAATGAAAAGGCAAAAGTGGTTCAACAAGTTACACTTGTCCTTGGAAGGTTTAGCAAGGATTTTAGGAAGTTACTTTGCAGTAAATGTTTGCCACTGGGGGCTGGGCCCAGGCCATGCAGAATGGTCTCCTACAGAGGACTTTGTATAAGTTACATGCTCTTCTATAGAAACTCATCCATCTGGAACTGATTTCAAATGCCCTTTCTTATACGAGGAAGTAATAGCTTCTTTCTCTGACTTCTAATGAGGCCGCTCTCATCCCGTTTAGAATCATTTGTTCAGCCTGCCTACCTCTGTGATGTGAGCTCTTTGAGAGCTGGTCCATACCTGAGGCTTCTCAGAGGTCACAGGCACAGATCAGGGCCCCTGAGGGCCCCCGAATGTTTGCTGAATGAATGATTTCACAATTACAAATTAAACTAGATGATGATCAATGAATGCTGAAGGTAATTTCTGTGAGATTTAAAATATGGAGAAAACTGAGGGGTAAGTTGATAGCAGGACTGTAATCTTACTTCACACTGTATTACACAATTCACAGAACACTGGTGAGCATTATTTAATTGCAAATTCACTATAATGTTGCAAATTAGTATGCTATAGATCATAAACTGAAGACAACTAGCTACTGATACAGTCTTATTCAAACAGAATTGGTAGGAACCAGCTAATCTAAGTACAGATAGTCTTTCTAAGGTATTGTAAATTTTATCACCATTTTATTTATTGTCTAGATATATTTCTGACAAATCTTTCTTTATTCTCTTCCCAATATCCTTCACTCTCAATATTACAGATACAGGTGAAAGGCATGATTTCTAATCTTGGATTCATTACCCACATTGGCTGTGTTCCCTCTGATACTCATTCTCCCTAGGTATTTCCAAGGGTTGAAATATTAAAGACATGCATGTAAAATGTATTATAAGCCTTAAATAATTAAATACATGTATCTTTTAATATGTGACTCTTATATTGGAGGCAATATCCAAGGTGCCATTAAGCAAAGAACATAGTTTGAAGGAATTGTCAGGAACAGCAAATTTGATGACTACAAGTGAGTCAGAGCATGCCCAGAAACCAGTGTCCCCTCCTGGAGAAGCACGTGCCTTTGGAAAGCACACTAGACGAAAATCAGGTAACAAAAAAATCATTTGGAAACTTGAGTTCTTCTAAGTCCTATAGAAGGGCTGATAAATATGACCTAGGTATGTGGGGAGGACTTTGGATGGGCCTGGATTTAAGCTGGGCTAGGCTGACACTGAAGTTAGCAATGTAGCTTTGGGCAAATCCTATAAATTCTCTGAGCTCCTGAATGCTAATGTGTAAAGTGAAGATAAGGAAACATCACTCATATATTGTTTGAAAACATTAAATTGAATTTAAAACAGGTGACACATGCAAGTTGTCCAATATATCCATGTGTGATAATAGCAACCACACTTTATTGGTGTTGTGTGCCCAGGCGTATACTCAATGCCTAACATAATGTGCACTCAAATATTTTATGAATGATTAAATGTTGGCAAGTTAAACCTGGTAATGGGAAGATCTAGAAACTACAGATTCAATCAGTCATCTGTAGTTAGTGTGGAGTCTTAGTCTTCTGAACCAATAGTTAATGGAGTAAAATACCAGAGGATGCAAAAGGGCAGGTAATCAATTGATGGGAGGAGACTGTGTTACCTGACAAAATGGGAACTAACACTCCAGACCCCGCCAACCTTGCTCACCTGCTCTTCTCCAACTCAGAACTCAGGAGAAAGGAGATTGATGTGAAGTATAGTCAAAAAGAAAGAATGGGTCATGTGTACCAAGAAGTCACAGAACGCCAGGATGATGACTACCTTTGTAAGTGACCTTCACTAAGAAGCATATTATCATACAATAATTTCACTCATTTAGTCCTTTGGTCCTCAAATTATTCCCTTCATTTAGTGACCTGGAGTACAGGACTGAGTCTCACTGATGTCAGTGCCAGACTCCCTCTGAAGCCCTTTGTGTCCAGGAACATGTGCTATACCTTCCCCAACCCCTGTTCTCACCTCCAGATTGTGAGAAGTGTCAGAACTTCTTCATCGACAGCTGTGCTGTGCATGGGCCCCCTACGTTTGTAAAGGACAGTGCAGTGGACAAGGGGCATCCCCACCGCTCAGCCCTCACCCTGCCCCCTGGGTTGAGAATCGGGCCATCCTGCATCCCTGAGGCTGGGCTTGGAGTGTGGAATGAGGCAGCTGATTTGCCAGTGGGTCTGCACTTTGGCCCTTATGAAGGACACATCACAGAAGATGAGGAGGCAGCCAAGAGCAGATACTCCTGGCTGGTGAGAAGTCTTTACCTCTTGTACTGTCCTCTGGCTTCCCACATTCCTTCTGAGGCTTGGGGGGACCTCTCCTCTTATGTGCTAGACATAGAGGGGACAATGTGGTCAGCTCTGTGTACTGACTGGACTTCACATGGACACAGAGCTCCTGCTGAAGGATCAGAAGGTAAGTGGGAGCAAAGTGGTGCAGACACAAAGGAGTGGCTCCTCCCTTGTGGGGCTCCTGCTCTGATTGGGCAGGTAGACTCGGATGTGTAGGCGATGAGTAAGAAAAATATCATGTGGTCACAGCTGGCAGTGGAATCCCCATGCAGGCGGAAAGAGCTTTGACGACAGTGGAGTAAAGTAATTCTTCTGACTATTACCGCCACACACACACACACAAAAAGTTCTGCAACTTCTTTTCTGAAACACAGATCGCCAGAGGGAGAAACTGCTATGAGTATGTGGATGGAAAGGACAGATCCTGGGCCAACTGGATGAGGTGAGGTCAATAGGTCTCTGGGTGCCAGAGGGGACTCTCATCCCCCATGAGCCCATATATCTGTCCCTCTCATCATGCCTCCCTCAGTGGTCTCCCTCAATCCTTTTTCCCTCTTTTTCTCCATACAGTGTTCTTTCATTTCAGGGGACATTTAGGAAAAAAACATAGCATATGTCCTCAAAATAGAAAGCTCTCTACTAGACACAATGTGGGCAATGGAAAGGTCCTTGAAGAGCCTAGATTCACCAGGGACACTGGATTGATTACACTTGAATTTATCACGTGAACATTAATTAAGCACTTACTGTAATCCAGTTTAGGTGAAGGAATACATTACTTAAACAGATCACACAACCCATGTCCTTATGAAGGACTTCTCACAGACATAAGACAGTTGCTTTTAGAAACATTTAACTGTAATTTCCAAGAAGTGCACAGCGTCAAGATACCACAAACCAAGGGTGGCCTACACCTGTGCAGGCTGCAAACCATCCTATCCTCACTCCAAACTAGAGCTGGGCTGCAGAGGAATGGTCATGGTCCCCTTTCCTGAGAGGGTCTCTCTTTTATCAGGGATAACAGAATGTGAATCAACCACTATTGTTCTGATTTATTGTACTAAGACAAAAAGACCTTCAATTTTCTATGGTAACCTTGGGCAAGCAAGTGAATGGTATCCTAGATGAAGTGTAGGGGGGTTGGAGAAAGGCCTCTCAAGAGAAAACAGATGTGGCTGAGTACTGGGTAATTAGTGAGCTAATTTAGAAGCAGAGCCCTAGATTAAGCACCAGGTTCTGTGGTATGAAACAGCTTAAGAGTTTGGACAAGCCAGAGATGACTGGATATTATGGCCAATCAGGGTGGAGGTTAAGACTAGAACTGGGTTTCAGAAAATAGTATTAGGCAGGATAAACACTGCAAGCAGGACTTGGAGGTAGGAATTCACATGACATGCTGGCAGACGCTCAGACACTGAACAAAAATTCCCCGGGAGCATTAGGGGCAGTGGGCAACACCAGAGCCTGAGGGCCTTGAGAATCAGTGAGGAGCTGAACATGGATGTAACAGGTAGTGGGAACTCATCACTGTGCTTTTCTTTCCCTTCTTCTACCTCAATCCCAGGTTTGTGAACTGTGCCCGGGATCATGAAGAGCAGAACCTGGTGGCCTTTCAATACCACAGGCAGATTTTCTACCGAACCTGCCGGGTCATCAGACCGGGATGTGAGCTGCTGGTCTGGTTCGGGGACGAGTATGGCCAGGAGCTGGGCAGCAAGTGGGGCAGCAAGTGGAAGAGAGAGCTCATGGCCAAAAAAGGTGGGCACCACTGTTCTTCAAAACAGAAAGAAAAGAGAGAATTCTCCATAGAAATATTCATGACCCAACACTTAAGTGGAATAAAATCTACTCTAAAGTCAGTAAAGTTTCAACTCAGATGCTTCAGAAATTCACAATTCATTCCTATGCCTTTGACTCTTAGGCAAAATTTTTATATTTATATTTAAAATATTTCATGAACAGAATACACAACCACATAAAGTGCTGAAAGACTGAGAGGCAAAACAAAAATTTTCAAGTGCTAAACTAGTTCTCTTATCAAGGCGGTTTTTCTGACACTTTCATGGCTGTTTCTTCTTAATTTTCCTCCATACTTCTAAATAAAATACTTTTGTTTGTAGGCATTGTTTATTTTTAAAAGAGTTTGTCCTGGCTGGTGTGGCTCAGGATGGAGCACCGGTCTGTGAAGTAAAGGGTCACCAGTTTGATTCGCAGTTGGGGCATATGCCTGGGTTTTGGATCAGGTCCCCAGTACAGGGCATGTGAGAGGCAACCACACAGTGACGTTTCTCTGCCCCTCCCTCCCTACCTTCTCCCTTTTCTGAAGATAAATAAATATATAAATCTTTTTAAACAAGATTTTATTTATTTTTACAGAGAGTGGAAAGGAGGGAGAAAGAAAAATCAATGTGCAAGGGAAACATTAACCGGTTGTCTATGGCGCACCCCCAACTGGCCCACAACCCTGGCATGGGCCCTGACTGGAATTGAACTTGAAACCTTTCCATTTCCAGACAACACTCAACCCACCAAGCCACACCATTCAGACAGGGCACATCCATTCACCATTTTGGTGAATTATTGTGAGAGATCCTACTCTGGTGCACAGCGTCCTGGGACCTGGAAATACAGATTAATGTGAGGATCAGAATCACTGCTCTCGAGCTGACGAGTGAAGGAGGGAAACCCAGGCACACATGCTTGCGTGTGCGTAACACCACACAGCGGTTAGTGCTTTGGAGAAAACTAATCCAGGACAAGTGCCTAGGAATCGGTGTGAGGGGAGGTGCACTGTGGCCGGTGGTCCGGGAAGGGCTCTCTCAGGAGACAACATATACAAAAATCCCTGCAGGCAGAGGGAGCAGCTAGTGCAGGGAATAAAAGAGGTGGGGCATTGAATTGGCTGAGGGACACTCTGCTCTCCTCTCAGCATAGACGGTAAGAACGACGATCAGACAGAGGCTTAGCAGCCCAGCAATGCAGTGCCGGTGATCCGAGTTGAGACACTGGGGACTTTCCTGAGTGAAAGTGTGCACTTGTCAGCTGTAGAGTGGTGTGTTCTCTGTGCTGATTACGCTTTGTTAATTCTTAGAAAATAAACTCCCATGAGGAATCCCCTCATATTACTTCATCTCCAGGTGAGAGAGCATGGTGGATTGGCCAGAGAGGAACAGGAGTCAGGCATGTAAGAAATGTGATTGAAGTATTTTGAAACAGGTCTTAGTGTATTTGAAATGGGCTAACACTAAATGAGATAAAGCATAAATATTTGGTGTGAGGCTTGAGGAAGGACATTTCCTTTTACTATTTTGGAAAACCAAGAGAAGCAATTCCTAGTTGGGGCCTGTGGTTTTCCTCTGAAAGATGACTTAGAGGATACTTATAGATGGGAAAGGTCACTGCAGTTGCATCCACACGGAGTAAAATGGCCTCTCATGCTCCTTAAAGTCCCTAGTCTGGGCAATATTAGAAAAGACCCCTGATGTGGGCTTTCTGGATTTCTGAAGAAGATGCACTGCATAAAAATTACAAGACAAATAGTCGGCGAGTGGATACTGTGGGAGACAGAGGTCGTGTTATCACCACAGTAAGAAGGATTCATGGGCAGGTCTTACCAGGAGAATAATCATACGGCCCAGGAATTCACATCAACATCTGCCCTGACCAAACCTTTCTCTTTCAGCAGAACCAAAGCCAGAGGTGCACCCATGTTCCTCCTGCTCTCTGGCCTTCTCCAGTCCGAAATTCCTCAGCCAACACGTGAAATTCAATCATCCCTCTCAGATTCTCCCAGGAACATGTGCAAGAAAACAGCTCCAAGCAGAGGAACCCTGCCCAGAGGATCGGAATCAGCAGCAGCAACATACTAGTACGCACAGCTGGAATGATAAAGCTGAAGGTCAAGAGGTCAATGAAAGGTCCAAGCCTTTGCCTAAAAGGATCAGTCAGAAGAGAATCTCAAGACCCTTTTTCCAACCTTCCAACGAACAAATGAGCTCTAGTGAGTATGAGACAACGATGGAAGAAGAGCCCCACGGAGGCCAGAAAGAGAGTCCAGAGGACACAGGCAAGTTCTTTGTGAAAGTAGGAATGTCAAGAATTATAACAATCGAGCATAGAGGTTGTTGGCAAGGCTTAAATGATGGGTCACATCTCATCACACATCAGGGGGCACACTCTGGGGAGAAGCCCTGTGTTTGCAGCGTGTGCAGGCAAGGCTTTACATGGAAGTCAGGTCTCATCGCACACCAGAGGACACACTCTGGGGAGAAGCCCTATGTTTGCAGCGACTGTAGGCGAGGGTTTACACAGAAGTCAGGTCTCAGCAGACACCAGAGGACATACTCAGGGGAGAAGCCCTGTGTTTGCAGGGAGTGTGGGAGAGGCTTTACATGCCAGACAATTCTTGTTAGACACCAGACAATACATTCAGGGAGGAAGCCCTATGTTTGCAGGGAGTGTGGGAGAGGCTTTACATGGAAGTCAGGTCTCATCACACACCAGAGGACACACTCTGGGGAGAAGCCCTATGTTTGCAGGGAGTGCGGGTTAGGCTTTACCCGGAAGACAAGTCTCATCACACACCAGAGGACACACTCTGGGGAGAAGCCCTATGTTTGCAGGGAGTGTGGGAGAGGCTTTACATGCCAGGCAATTCTTGTTAGACACTAGACAATACATTCAGGGAAGAAGCCCTATGTTTACAGGGAGGGTGGGAGAGGCTTTATGTGGAAGTCAGTTCTCATCCGACACCATAGGACACACTCTGGGGAGAAGCCCTATGTTTGCAGGTGAAGTCAGTGAGTCATTAGCATTAAGTCACATATGGATGGTCATAGGAAGTCCACAGCCCCTTACTCTCCCCAAGATTGTAATTACTTATAGAAGTAACGGGTTAAACAAATCCTCAAGTTTGATTACAAGAGACGAAATGGACAGACAGTTCCATAGTGATATTGGGGATGTCAGCACCAAACTCGTTACTGTTATTTTTGACCTATTGTCAAACTTTTTGTCTCTATACACATCTCTCATTTTCCCCATCACTGAAAGCAGAGGGTTCCTAAAGAGCCACAAAGAACTCATTCTCTCAGTCACAGAAATTCAACTCCTGAAAATGTGTAAATGTGGAATCAGTGTACTTTTGTTACTCCCCAAAGAGAGGGGTTTGAGACAGACACCCGGGAAGGGAATTCCCCAGACTCTTGGAAAGGGCCTTTTCTCCTAATCAGTTCCCTACCCCTCCTCCCTTTCTTTCTCTTGCCTCTTCTGGTTTCCTACAATGTCTGGAGCCTCAGAGGTGAACGGCAGGGAGAGATGGATGCTTGTGCATAGACGTGAGCCGCTCAGTCTGGGCACCTGGTCTTCCTCACTCTCCTTGCTGCCCCTTCAGGGTCAGCATTTGCTGGTGCACAGCGTACAGATTCCACATCAGTCCATAGTGGTGTGAGTCTCAGCTCTGTCTTCTCCAGCTGTGTGACCTGAGGCAAGAGTCTCAACTTCTCTCTGCCTGATCCCAGTTTGTGTAATGGAAATGGGAACTCCAGCCTTTTGGTTTGACATTCAAAGTTGAGTCAGCACAGACAGAATCTGGCAAGAGGATGGCTGAGATTGCAAGTCCTCCTTAACAGCCTTCAATGCCCGTGTCTTCCTGGTCTTTAGTGGTGGACAAAGGAAGATAAGGACAGGTTAGAGGTCTGCAGCGGAATTCAGAATTTGAGCAGACCCCACTGCTTTCCCCACGTAGACTGAGCTGCCCTGAGAAGGAGGCCTGAGGTGGGGGATATGCCTCCGTCCCCATTACCACCCTCTCACTGAGCCTGGGCACCCTCAGAACCTCCTCAACACAGGCAGGTGCTACTGAGAGTGACCTGTGAAACAAGACCCTAGTGCACCCCTGGCAGAGAACTGACGGGGAGCAGCACCTGCCTGCACTGGTGTGATAGGGTAGATGGTGAGCCAAGGCAGGGAGGATGAGGAAGACATGTCTCACCCACTGATTCAGCAGTCCTGAGCCTGGTCCAATTGCATTGCCAGATGTTCCAGCAACACAAGAAACACCATGCTAACACGTTGGAATTGTAGGTATCGTTTCCACCATCCGGGATAGAAAGGCTTTGAAACTATTAATCCCAAGGCCTAGAAGATGGAAGGGGGTCTGCAGGACTCAAAGAAAGGACCCATAAAACAAATTTGTCTAATTGCTTGCCTCTGTCCACTATCTGTTTTGTGAGAGGGTGCCTAGTGCTTACAGAAAGAGACCGTAGGTAATTTTGGGTAACTGCCTCAACAAACTGTCTCCTGTCATGGACCTATTTTACAAGAAGGCCAAGTGGGATCAGAAGCGAGATTAGGGTTCAGACTAACAACCCCCACACATACCCGTGTTTGGGTAGTCCATCCCCTTGGAAGCTGGTACCACGTTTACCCACCAACCAAGATGTAAATTCCTCTCTCCCACAACCCCACTGTTTCCCCTGGAAACGGAAACCTTTCCCGTTTCCAGACAACACCCAACCCACCAAGCCACACCATTGAGACAGGGCACATCCCTTCGCCATTTTGGTGAATTATCGTGAGAGATCCTACTCTGGTGCACAGCGTCCCGGGACCTGGAAATAGAGATTAATGTGAGGATCAGAATCACTGCTCTCGAGTTGACGAGTGAAGGAGGGAAACCCAGGCACACATGCTTGCGTGTGCATAACACCACACAGAGGTTAGTGCTTTGGAGAAAACTAATGCAGGACAAGTGCCTAGGAATCAGTGTGCAGGGAGGTGCACTGTGGCCGGTGGTCCGGGAAGGGCTCTCAGGAGACAACACGTACAAAAATCTCTGCAGGCAGAGGGAGCAGCTAGTGCAGGGAATAAAAGAGGTGGGGCATTGAATTGGCTGAGGGTCACTCTGCTCTCCTCTCAGCATAGACGGTAAGAACGGCCATCAGACAGATGCTTAGCAGCCCAGCAATGCAGTGCCGATGATCCGAGTGGAGACACTGGGGACTTTCCTGAGTGAAAGTGTGCACTTGTCAGCTGTAGAGTGGTGTGTTCTCGGTGCTGATTACGCTTTGTTAATTCTTAGAAAATAAACTCCCGTGGGGAATTTCCTCCTATTACTTCATCTTCAGGTGAGAGAGCATGGTGGATTGGCCAGAGAGGAACAGGAGTCAGGCGTGTAAGAAAGGTGATTGAAGTATTTTGAAACAGGTCTCAGTGTATTTGAAATGGGCTAACACTAAATGAGATAAAGCATAAATATTTGGTGTGAGGCTTGAGGAAGGACATTTCCTTTTACTATTTTGGAAAACCAAGAGAAGCAATTCCTAGTGGGGGCCTGTGGTTTTCCTCTGAAAGATGACTTAGAGGATACTTATAGATGGGAAAGGTCACTGCAGTTGCATCCACACGGAGTAAAATGGCCTCTCATGCTCCTTAAAGTCCCTAGTCTGGGCAATATGAGAAAAGACCCCTGATGTGGGCTTTCTGGATTTCTGAAGAAGATGCACTGCATAAAAATTACAAGACAAATAGTCGGCGAGTGGATACTGTGGGAGAAAGAGGTCGTGTTATCACCACAGTAAGAAGCATTCATGGGCAGGTCTTACCGGGAGACTAATCATATGGCCCAGGCATTCTTGTCAACATCTGCCCTGACCAAACCTTTCTCTTTCAGCAGAACCAAATCCAGAAGTGCACCCATGTCCCTCCTGCTCTCTGGCCTTCTCCAGTCCGAAATTCCTCAGCCAACACGTGAAATTCAATCATCCCTCCCAGATTCTCCCAGGAACATGTGCAAGAAAACAGCTCCAAGCAGAGGAACCCTGCCCAGAGGATCGGAATCAGCAGCAGCAACATACTAGTACGCACAGCTGGAATGATAAAGCTGAAGGTCAAGAGGTCAATGAAAGGTCCAAGCCTTTGCCTAAAAGGATCAGTCAGAAGCGAATCTCAAGACCCTTTTTCCAACCTTCCAACGAACAAATGAGCTCTAGTGAGTATGAGACAACGATGGAAGAAGAGCCCCACGGAGGCCAGAAAGAGAGTCCAGAGGACACAGGCAAGTTCTTTGTGAAAGTAGGAATGTCAAGAATTATAACAATCGAGCATAGAGGTTGTTGGCAAGGCTTAAATGATGGGTCACATCTCATCACACATCAGGGGGCACACTCTGGGGAGAAGCCCTGTGTTTGCAGCGTGTGCAGGCAAGGCTTTACATGGAAGTCAGGTCTCATCGCACACCAGAGGACACACTCTGGGGAGAAGCCCTGTGTTTGCAGCGACTGCAGGCGAGGCTTTACCCAGAAGTCAAGTCTCAGCAGACACCAGAGGACATACTGAGGGGAGAAGCCCTGTGTTTGCAGGGAGTGTGGGAGAGGCTTTACATGCATGACAATTCTTGTTAGACACCAGACAATACATTCAGGGAAGAAGCCCTATGTTTGCAGGGAGTGTGGGAGAGGCTTTACCTGGAAGTCAGGTCTCATCACACACCAGAGGACACACTCTGGGGAGAAGCCCTATGTTTGCAGCGTGTGCAGGCAAGGCTTTACATGGAAGTCAGGTCTCATCGCACACCAGAGGACACACTCTGGGGAGAAGCCCTATGTTTGCAGCGTGTGCAGGCGAGGCTTTACCCAGAAGATAAGTCTCAGGAGACACCAGAGGACACACTCAGGGGAGAAGCCCTATGTTTTCAGGGAGTGACGAAGCAGGCTTTACATGCAAGACAATTCTTGTTACACACCAGACAATACATTCAGGGAAGAAGCCCTATGTTTGCAGGGAGTGTGGGCGAGGCTTTACATGGAAGTCAGGTCTCATCACACACCAGAGGACACACTCTGGGGAGAAGCCCTATGTTTGCAGCGAGTGTAAGCGAGGGTTTACATAGAAGTCAGGTCTCATCACACACCAGAGGACACACTCTGGGGAGAAGCCCTATGTTTGCAGCGTGTGCAGGCGAGGCCTTACATGGAAGTCAAGTCTCACGCAGACACCAGAGGACACACTCTGGGGAGAAGCCCTAAGTTTTCAGGGAGTGTAAGCGAAGAGGCTTTACATGGAAGTCAGTTCTCGTCAGACACCAGAGGACACATTCTGGGGAGAAGCCCTATGTTTGCAGGGGTTTGCAGGCGAGGCTTTACCCAGAAGATAAGTCTCACGAGACACCAGAGGACACACTCTGGGGAGAAGCCCTATGTGTTCAAGTGAAGTGAGTGAGTCATTAGCATTAAGTCACATATCGATGGTCATAGGAAGTCCACAGCCCCTTACTCTCCCCAGGATTGTAATAACTTATAGAAGTAACGGGTTAGACAAATCCTCAAGTTTGATTACAAGAGACAAAATAGACAGACAGTTCCATAGTGATATTGGGGATGTCAGCACCAAACTCGTTACTGTTTTTTTGGACCTATTGTCAAACTTTTTGTCTCTATACACATCTCTCATTTTCCCCATCACTGAAAGCAGAGGGTTCCTAAAGATCCACAAAGAACTCATTCTCTCAGTCACAGAAATTCATCTCCTGCAAATGTGTCAATATGGAATCAGTGTACTTTTGTTACTCCCCAAAGAGAGGGGTTTGAGACAGACACCCGGGAAGGGAATTCCCCAGACTCTTGGAAAGGGCCTTTTCTCCTAATCAGTTCCCTACCCCTCCTCCCTTTCTTTCTCTTGCCTCTTCTGGTTTCCTACAATGTCTGGAGCCTCAGAGGTGAACGGCAGAGAGAGATGGATGCTTGTGCATAGACGTGAGCCGCTCAGTCTGGGCACCTGGTCTTCCTCACTCTCCTTGCTGCCCCTTCAGGGTCAGCATTTGCTGGTGCACAGCGTACAGATTCCACATCAGTCCATAGTGGTGTGAGTCTCAGCTCTGTCTTCTCCAGCTGTGTGACCTGAGGCAAGAGTCTCAACTTCTCTCTGCCTGATCCCAGTTTGTGTAATGGAAATGGGAACTCCAGCCTTTTGGTTTGACATTCAAAGTTGAGTCAGCACAGACAGAATCTGGCAAGAGGATGGCTGAGATTGCAAGTCCTCCTTAACAGCCTTCAATGCCCGTGTCCTCCTGGTCTTTAGTGGTGGACAAAGGAAGATAAGGACAGGTTAGAGGTCTGCAGCGGAATTCAGAATTTGAGCAGACCCCACTGCTTTCCCCACGTAGACTGAGCTGCCCTGAGAAGGAGGCCTGAGGTGGGGGATATGCCTCCGTCCCCATTACCACCCTGTCACTGAGCCTGGGCACCCTCAGAACCTCCTCAACACAGGCAGGTGCTACTGAGAGTGACCTGTGAAACAAGACCCTAGTGCACCCCTGGCAGAGAACTGACGGGGAGCAGCACCTGCCTGCACTGGTGTGATAGGGTAGATGGTGAGCCAAGGCAGGGAGGATGAGGAAGACATGTCTCACCCACTGAGTCAGCAGTCCTGAGCCTGGTGCAATTGCATTGCCAGATGTTCCAGCAACACAAGAAACACCATGCTAACACGTTGGAATTGTAGGTATCGTTTCCACCATCCGGGATAGAAAGGCTTTGAAACTATTAATCCCAAGGCCTAGAAGATGGAAGGGGGTCTGCAGGACTCAAAGAAAGGACCCATAAAACAAATTTGTCTAATTGCTTGCCTCTGTCCACTATCTGTTTTGTGAGAGGGTGCCTAGTGCTTACAGAAAGAGACCGTAGGTAATTTTGGGTAACTGCCTCAACAAACTGTCTCCTGTCATGGATCTATGTTACAAGAAGGCCAAGTGGGATCAGAAGCGAGATTAGGGTTCAGACTAACAACCCCCACACATACCCGTGTTTGGGTAGTCCATCCCCTTGGAAGCTGGTACCACGTTTACCCACCAACCAAGATGTAAATTCCTCTCTCCCACAACCCCACTGTTTCCCCTGGAAACGGAAACCTTTCCCGTTTCCAGACAACACCCAACCCACCAAGCCACACCATTGAGACAGGGCACATCCCTTCGCCATTTTGGTGAATTATCGTGAGAGATCCTACTCTGGTGCACAGCGTCCCGGGACCTGGAAATAGAGATTAATGTGAGGATCAGAATCACTGCTCTCGAGTTGACGAGTGAAGGAGGGAAACCCAGGCACACATGCTTGCGTGTGCATAACACCACACAGAGGTTAGTGCTTTGGAGAAAACTAATGCAGGACAAGTGCCTAGGAATCAGTGTGCAGGGAGGTGCACTGTGGCCGGTGGTCCGGGAAGGGCTCTCAGGAGACAACACGTACAAAAATCTCTGCAGGCAGAGGGAGCAGCTAGTGCAGGGAATAAAAGAGGTGGGGCATTGAATTGGCTGAGGGTCACTCTGCTCTCCTCTCAGCATAGACGGTAAGAACGGCCATCAGACAGATGCTTAGCAGCCCAGCAATGCAGTGCCGATGATCCGAGTGGAGACACTGGGGACTTTCCTGAGTGAAAGTGTGCACTTGTCAGCTGTAGAGTGGTGTGTTCTCGGTGCTGATTACGCTTTGTTAATTCTTAGAAAATAAACTCCCGTGGGGAATTTCCTCCTATTACTTCATCTTCAGGTGAGAGAGCATGGTGGATTGGCCAGAGAGGAACAGGAGTCAGGCGTGTAAGAAAGGTGATTGAAGTATTTTGAAACAGGTCTCAGTGTATTTGAAATGGGCTAACACTAAATGAGATAAAGCATAAATATTTGGTGTGAGGCTTGAGGAAGGACATTTCCTTTTACTATTTTGGAAAACCAAGAGAAGCAATTCCTAGTGGGGGCCTGTGGTTTTCCTCTGAAAGATGACTTAGAGGATACTTATAGATGGGAAAGGTCACTGCAGTTGCATCCACATGGAGTAAAATGGCCTCTCATGCTCCTTAAAGTCCCTAGTCTGGGCAATATGAGAAAAGACCCCTGATGTGGGCTTTCTGGATTTCTGAAGAAGATGCACTGCATAAAAATTACAAGACAAATAGTCGGCGAGTGGATACTGTGGGAGAAAGAGGTCGTGTTATCACCACAGTAAGAAGGATTCATGGGCAGGTCTTACCGGGAGACTAATCATATGGCCCAGGCAGTCTTGTCAACATCTGCCCTGACCAAACCTTTCTCTTTCAGCAGAACCAAATCCAGAAGTGCACCCATGTCCCTCCTGCTCTCTGGCCTTCTCCAGTCCGAAATTCCTCAGCCAACACGTGAAATTCAATCATCCCTCCCAGATTCTCCCAGGAACATGTGCAAGAAAACAGCTCCAAGCAGAGGAACCCTGCCCAGAGGATCGGAATCAGCAGCAGCAACATACTAGTACGCACAGCTGGAATGATAAAGCTGAAGGTCAAGAGGTCAATGAAAGGTCCAAGCCTTTGCCTAAAAGGATCAGTCAGAAGCGAATCTCAAGACCCTTTTTCCAACCTTCCAAAGAACAAATGAGCTCTAGTGAGTATGAGACAACGATGGAAGAAGAGCCCCACGGAGGCCTGAAAGAGAGTCCAGAGGACACAGGCAAGTTCTTTGTGAAAGTAGGAATGTCAAGAATTATAACAATCGAGCATAGAGGTTGTTGGCAAGGCTTAAATGATGGGTCACATCTCATTACACATCAGGGGGCACACTCTGGGGAGAAGCCCTATGTTTGCAGCGTGTGCAGGCGAGGCTTTACATGGAAGTCAGGTCTCATCGCGCACCAGAGGACACACTCTGGTGAGAAGCCCTGTGTTTGCAGGGAGTGCAGGCGAGGCTTTACCCAGAAGACAAGTCTCAGCAGACACCAGAGGACATACTGAGGGGAGAAGCCCTGTGTTTGCAGGGAGTGTGGGAGAGGCTTTACATGCATGACAATTCTTGTTAGACACCAGACAATACATTCAGGGAAGAAGCCCTATGTTTGCAGGGAGTGTGGGAGAGGCTTTACCTGGAAGTCAGGTCTCATCACACATCAGGGGGCACACTCTGGGGAGAAGCCCTGTGTTTGCAGCGTGTGCAGGCAAGGCTTTACATGGAAGTCAGGTCTCATCGCACACCAGAGGACACACTCTGGGGAGAAGCCCTATGTTTGCAGCGACTGTAGGCGAGGGTTTACACAGAAGTCAGGTCTCAGCAGACACCAGAGGACATACTCAGGGGAGAAGCCCTGTGTTTGCAGGGAGTGTGGGAGAGGCTTTACATGCCAGACAATTCTTGTTAGACACCAGACAATACATTCAGGGAGGAAGCCCTATGTTTGCAGGGAGTGTGGGAGAGGCTTTACCTGGAAGTCAGTTCTCACCCGACACCACTGGACACACTCTGGGGAGAAGCCCCATGTTTGCAAGTGAAGTGAGTGGGTCATTAGCATTAAGTCACATATGGATGGTCATAGGAAGTCCACAGCCCCTTACTCTCCCCAAGATTGTAATTACTTATAGAAGTAACGGGTTAAACAAATCCTCAAGTTTGATTACAAGAGACGAAATGGACAGACAGTTCCATAGTGATATGGGGATGTCAGCACCAAACTCGTTACTGTTTTTTTGGACCTATTGTCAAACTTTTTGTCTCTATACACATCTCTCATTTTCCCCATCACTGAAAGCAGAGGGTTCCTAAAGATCCACAAAGAACTCATTCTCTCAGTCACAGAAATTCATCTCCTGCAAATGTGTAATTATGGAATCAGTGTACTTTTGTTACTCCCCAAAGAGAGGGGTTTGAGACAGACACCCGGGAAGGGAATTCCCCAGACTCTTGGAAAGGGCCTTTTCTCCTAATCAGTTCCCTACCCCTCCTCCCTTTCTTTCTCTTGCCTCTTCTGGTTTCCTACAATGTCTGGAGCCTCAGAGGTGAACGGCAGAGAGAGATGGATGCTTGTGCATAGACGTGAGCCGCTCAGTCTGGGCACCTGGTCTTCCTCACTCTCCTTGCTGCCCCTTCAGGGTCAGCATTTGCTGGTGCACAGCGTACAGATTCCACATCAGTCCATAGTGGTGTGAGTCTCAGCTCTGTCTTCTCCAGCTGTGTGACCTGAGGCAAGAGTCTCAACTTCTCTCTGCCTGATCCCAGTTTGTGTAATGGAAATGGGAACTCCAGCCTTTTGGTTTGACATTCAAAGTTGAGTCAGCACAGACAGAATCTGGCAAGAGGATGGCTGAGATTGCAAGTCCTCCTTAACAGCCTTCAATGCCCGTGTCTTCCTGGTCTTTAGTGGTGGACAAAGGAAGATAAGGACAGGTTAGAGGTCTGCAGCGGAATTCAGAATTTGAGCAGACCCCACTGCTTTCCCCACATAGACTGAGCTGCCCTGAGAAGGAGGCCTGAGGTGGGGGATATGCCTCCGTCCCCATTACCACCCTGTCACTGAGCCTGGGCACCCTCAGAACCTCCTCAACACAGGCAGGTGCTACTGAGAGTGACCTGTGAAACAAGAGCCTAGTGCACCCCTGGCAGAGAACTGACGGGGAGCAGCACCTGCCTGCACTGGTGTGATAGGGTAGATGGTGAGCCAAGGCAGGGAGGATGAGGAAGACATGTCTCACCCACTGAGTCAGCAGTCCTGAGCCTGGTCCAATTGCATTGCCAGATGTTCCAGCAACACAAGAAACACCATGCTAACACGTTGAAATTGTAGGTATCGTTTCCACCATCCGGGATAGAAAGGCTTTGAAACTATTAATCCCAAGGCCTAGAAGATGGAAGGGGGTCTGCAGGACTCAAAGAAAGGACCCATAAAACAAATTTGTCTAATTGCTTGCCTCTGTCCACTATCTGTTTTGTGAGAGGGTGCCTAGTGCTTACAGAAAGAGACCGTAGGTAATTTTGGGTAACTGCCTCAACAAACTGTCTCCTGTCATGGATCTATTTTACAAGAAGGCCAAGTGGGATCAGAAGCGAGATTAGGGTTCAGACTAACAACCCCCACACATACCCGTGTTTGGGTAGTCCATCCCCTTGGAAGCTGGTACCACGTTTACCCACCAACCAAGATGTAAATTCCTCTCTCCCACAACCCCACTGTTTCCCCTGGAAACGGAAACCTTTCCCGTTTCCAGACAACACCCAACCCACCAAGCCACACCATTGAGACAGGGCACATCCCTTCGCCATTTTGGTGAATTATCGTGAGAGATCCTACTCTGGTGCACAGCGTCCCGGGACCTGGAAATAGAGATTAATGTGAGGATCAGAATCACTGCTCTCGAGTTGACGAGTGAAGGAGGGAAACCCAGGCACACATGCTTGCGTGTGCATAACACCACACAGAGGTTAGTGCTTTGGAGAAAACTAATGCAGGACAAGTGCCTAGGAATCAGTGTGCAGGGAGGTGCACTGTGGCCGGTGGTCCGGGAAGGGCTCTCAGGAGACAACACGTACAAAAATCTCTGCAGGCAGAGGGAGCAGCTAGTGCAGGGAATAAAAGAGGTGGGGCATTGAATTGGCTGAGGGTCACTCTGCTCTCCTCTCAGCATAGACGGTAAGAACGGCCATCAGACAGATGCTTAGCAGCCCAGCAATGCAGTGCCGATGATCCGAGTGGAGACACTGGGGACTTTCCTGAGTGAAAGTGTGCACTTGTCAGCTGTAGAGTGGTGTGTTCTCGGTGCTGATTACGCTTTGTTAATTCTTAGAAAATAAACTCCCGTGGGGAATTTCCTCCTATTACTTCATCTTCAGGTGAGAGAGCATGGTGGATTGGCCAGAGAGGAACAGGAGTCAGGCGTGTAAGAAAGGTGATTGAAGTATTTTGAAACAGGTCTCAGTGTATTTGAAATGGGCTAACACTAAATGAGATAAAGCATAAATATTTGGTGTGAGGCTTGAGGAAGGACATTTCCTTTTACTATTTTGGAAAACCAAGAGAAGCAATTCCTAGTGGGGGCCTGTGGTTTTCCTCTGAAAGATGACTTAGAGGATACTTATAGATGGGAAAGGTCACTGCAGTTGCATCCACACGGAGTAAAATCGCCTCTCATGCTCCTTAAAGTCCCTAGTCTGGGCAATATGAGAAAAGACCCCTGATGTGGGCTTTCTGGATTTCTGAAGAAGATGCACTGCATAAAAATTACAAGACAAATAGTCGGCGAGTGGATACTGTGGGAGAAAGAGGTCGTGTTATCACCACAGTAAGAAGGATTCATGGGCGGGTCTTACCGGGAGACTAATCATATGGCCCAGGCAGTCTTGTCAACATCTGCCCTGACCAAACCTTTCTCTTTCAGCAGAACCAAATCCAGAAGTGCACCCATGTCCCTCCTGCTCTCTGGCCTTCTCCAGTCCGAAATTCCTCAGCCAACACGTGAAATTCAATCATCCCTCCCAGATTCTCCCAGGAACATGTGCAAGAAAACAGCTCCAAGCAGAGGAACCCTGCCCAGAGGATCGGAATCAGCAGCAGCAACATACTAGTACGCACAGCTGGAATGATAAAGCTGAAGGTCAAGAGGTCAATGAAAGGTCCAAGCCTTTGCCTAAAAGGATCAGTCAGAAGCGAACCTCAAGACCCTTTTTCCAACCTTCCAACGAACAAATGAGCTCTAGTGAGTATGAGACAACGATGGAAGAAGAGCCCCACGGAGGCCTGAAAGAGAGTCCAGAGGACACAGGCAAGTTCTTTGTGAAAGTAGGAATGTCAAGAATTATAACAATCGAGCATAGAGGTTGTTGGCAAGGCTTAAATGATGGGTCACATCTCATTACACATCAGGGGGCACACTCTGGGGAGAAGCCCTATGTTTGCAGCGTGTGCAGGCGAGGCTTTACATGGAAGTCAGGTCTCATCGCGCACCAGAGGACACACTCTGGGGAGAAGCCCTGTGTTTACAGGGAGTGCAGGCGAGGCTTTACCCAGAAGACAAGTCTCAGCAGACACCAGAGGACATACTGAGGGGAGAAGCCCTGTGTTTGCAGGGAGTGTGGGAGAGGCTTTACATGCATGACAATTCTTGTTAGACACCAGACAATACATTCAGGGAAGAAGCCCTATGTTTGCAGGGAGGTTGTGGGAGAGGCTTTACTGGAGTCACGTCTCATCACACACCAGGGGACACACTCTGGGGAGAAGCCCTGTGTTTGCAGCGTGTGTAAGAGAGGCTTTACGCGGAAGTCAGATCTCATAAGACACCAGAGGACACACTCTGGGGAGAAGCCCTATGTTTGCAGCGACTGTGCAGGCGAGGGTTTACACAGAAGACAAGTCTCAGCAGACACCAGAGGACACACTCTGGGGAGAAGCCCTGTGTTTTCAGGGAGTGACGAAGAGGCTTTACACGCAAGACAATTCCTGTTAGACACCAGACAATACATTCAGGGAAGAAGCCCTATGTTTGCAGGGAGTGTTGGAGAGGCTTTACCTGGAAGTCAGTTCTCTTCCGACACCAGAGGACACACTCTGGGGAGAAGCCCTATGTTTTCAGGTGAAGTGAGTGAGTCATTAGCATTAAGTCACATATCAATAGTCATAGGAAGTCCACAGCCTCTTACTCTCCCCAGGATTGTAATTACTTATAGAAGTAACGGGTTAAACAAATCCTCAAGTTTGATTACAAGAGACGAAATGGACAGACAGTTCCATAGTGATATTGGGGATGTCAGCACCAAACTCGTTACTCTTTTTTTGGACCTATTGTCAAACTTTTTGTCTCTATACACATCTCTCATTTTCCCCATCACTGAAAGCAGAGGGTTCCTAAAGATCCACAAAGAACTCATTCTCTCAGTCACAGAAATTCATCTCCTGCAAATGTGTCAATATGGAATCAGTGTACTTTTGTTACTCCCCAAAGAGAGGGGTTTGAGACAGACACCCGGGAAGGGAATTCCCCAGACTCTTGGAAAGGGCCTTTTCTCCTAATCAGTTCCCTACCCCTCCTCCCTTTCTTTCTCTTGCCTCTTCTGGTTTCCTACAATGTCTGGAGCCTCAGAGGTGAACGGCAGAGAGAGATGGATGCTTGTGCATAGACGTGAGCCGCTCAGTCTGGGCACCTGGTCTTCCTCACTCTCCTTGCTGCCCCTTCAGGGTCAGCATTTGCTGGTGCACAGCGTACAGATTCCACATCAGTCCATAGTGGTGTGAGTCTCAGCTCTGTCTTCTCCAGCTGTGTGACCTGAGGCAAGAGTCTCAACTTCTCTCTGCCTGATCCCAGTTTGTGTAATGGAAATGGGAACTCCAGCCTTTTGGTTTGACATTCAAAGTTGAGTCAGCACAGACAGAATCTGGCAAGAGGATGGCTGAGATTGCAAGTCCTCCTTAACAGCCTTCAATGCCCGTGTCTTCCTGGTCTTTAGTGGTGGACAAAGGAAGATAAGGACAGGTTAGAGGTCTGCAGCGGAATTCAGAATTTGAGCAGACCCCACTGCTTTCCCCACGTAGACTGAGCTGCCCTGAGAAGGAGGCCTGAGGTGGGGGATATGCCTCCGTCCCCATTACCACCCTCTCACTGAGCCTGGGCACCCTCAGAACCTCCTCAACACAGGCAGGTGCTACTGAGAGTGACCTGTGAAACAAGACCCTAGTGCACCCCTGGCAGAGAACTGACGGGGAGCAGCACCTGCCTGCACTGGTGTGATAGGGTAGATGGTGAGCCAAGGCAGGGAGGATGAGGAAGACATGTCTCACCCACTGAGTCAGCAGTCCTGAGCCTGGTCCAATTGCATTGCCAGATGTTCCAGCAACACAAGAAACACCATGCTAACACGTTGGAATTGTAGGTATCGTTTCCACCATCCGGGATAGAAAGGCTTTGAAACTATTAATCCCAAGGCCTAGAAGATGGAAGGGGGTCTGCAGGACTCAAAGAAAGGACCCATAAAACAAATTTGTCTAATTGCTTGCCTCTGTCCACTATCTGTTTTGTGAGAGGGTGCCTAGTGCTTACAGAAAGAGACCGTAGGTAATTTTGGGTAACTGCCTCAACAAACTGTCTCCTGTCATGGACCTATTTTACAAGAAGGCCAAGTGGGATCAGAAGCGAGATTAGGGTTCAGACTAACAACCCCCACACACACCCGTGTTTGGGTAGTCCATCCCCTTGGAAGCTGGTACCACGTTTACCCACCAACCAAGATGTAAATTCCTCTCTCCCACAACCCCACTGTTTCCCCTGGAAACGGAAACCTTTCCCGTTTCCAGACAACACCCAACCCACCAAGCCACACCATTGAGACAGGGCACATCCCTTCGCCATTTTGGTGAATTATCGTGAGAGATCCTACTCTGGTGCACAGCGTCCCGGGACCTGGAAATAGAGATTAATGTGAGGATCAGAATCACTGCTCTCGAGTTGACGAGTGAAGGAGGGAAACCCAGGCACACATGCTTGCGTGTGCATAACACCACACAGAGGTTAGTGCTTTGGAGAAAACTAATGCAGGACAAGTGCCTAGGAATCAGTGTGCAGGGAGGTGCACTGTGGCCGGTGGTCCGGGAAGGGCTCTCAGGAGACAACACGTACAAAAATCTCTGCAGGCAGAGGGAGCAGCTAGTGCAGGGAATAAAAGAGGTGGGGCATTGAATTGGCTGAGGGTCACTCTGCTCTCCTCTCAGCATAGACGGTAAGAACGGCCATCAGACAGATGCTTAGCAGCCCAGCAATGCAGTGCCGATGATCCGAGTGGAGACACTGGGGACTTTCCTGAGTGAAAGTGTGCACTTGTCAGCTGTAGAGTGGTGTGTTCTCGGTGCTGATTACGCTTTGTTAATTCTTAGAAAATAAACTCCCGTGGGGAATTTCCTCCTATTACTTCATCTTCAGGTGAGAGAGCATGGTGGATTGGCCAGAGAGGAACAGGAGTCAGGCGTGTAAGAAAGGTGATTGAAGTATTTTGAAACAGGTCTCAGTGTATTTGAAATGGGCTAACACTAAATGAGATAAAGCATAAATATTTGGTGTGAGGCTTGAGGAAGGACATTTCCTTTTACTATTTTGGAAAACCAAGAGAAGCAATTCCTAGTGGGGGCCTGTGGTTTTCCTCTGAAAGATGACTTAGAGGATACTTATAGATGGGAAAGGTCACTGCAGTTGCATCCACATGGAGTAAAATCGCCTCTCATGCTCCTTAAAGTCCCTAGTCTGGGCAATATGAGAAAAGACCCCTGATGTGGGCTTTCTGGATTTCTGAAGAAGATGCACTGCATAAAAATTACAAGACAAATAGTCGGCGAGTGGATACTGTGGGAGAAAGAGGTCGTGTTATCACCACAGTAAGAAGGATTCATGGGCGGGTCTTACCGGGAGACTAATCATATGGCCCAGGCATTCTTGTCAACATCTGCCCTGACCAAACCTTTCTCTTTCAGCAGAACCAAATCCAGAAGTGCACCCATGTCCCTCCTGCTCTCTGGCCTTCTCCAGTCCGAAATTCCTCAGCCAACACGTGAAATTCAATCATCCCTCCCAGATTCTCCCAGGAACATGTGCAAGAAAACAGCTCCAAGCAGAGGAACCCTGCCCAGAGGATCGGAATCAGCAGCAGCAACATACTAGTACGCACAGCTGGAATGATAAAGCTGAAGGTCAAGAGGTCAATGAAAGGTCCAAGCCTTTGCCTAAAAGGATCAGTCAGAAGCGAATCTCAAGACCCTTTTTCCAACCTTCCAACGAACAAATGAGCTCTAGTGAGTATGAGACAACGATGGAAGAAGAGCCCCACGGAGGCCTGAAAGAGAGTCCAGAGGACACAGGCAAGTTCTTTGTGAAAGTAGGAATGTCAAGAATTATAACAATCGAGCATAGAGGTTGTTGGCAAGGCTTAAATGATGGGTCACATCTCATTACACATCAGGGGGGCACACTCTGGGGAGAAGCCCTGTGTTTGCAGCGTGTGCAGGCGAGGCTTTACATGGAAGTCAGGTCTCATCGCGCACCAGAGGACACACTCTGGGGAGAAGCCCTGTGTTTACAGCGACTGCAGGCGAGGCTTTACACAGAAGTCAGGTCTCAGCAGACACCAGAGGACATACTCAGGGGAGAAGCCCTGTGTTTGCAGGGAGTGTGGGAGAGGCTTTACATGCCAGACAATTCTTGTTAGACACCAGACAATACATTCAGGGAGGAAGCCCTATGTTTGCAGGGAGTGTGGGAGAGGCTTTACCTGGAAGTCAGGTCTCATCACACACCAGAGGACACACTCTGGGGAGAAGCCCTATGTTTGCAGCGTGTGCAAGCGAGGCTTTACATGGAAGTCAGGTCTCATCGCACACCAGAGGACACACTCTGGGGAGAAGCCCTATGTTTGCAGCGTGTGCAGGCGAGGCTTTACCCAGAAGATAAGTCTCAGGAGACACCAGAGGACACACTCAGGGGAGAAGCCCTATGTTTTCAGGGAGTGACGAAGAGGCTTTACATGCAAGACAATTCTTGTTAGACACCAGACAATACATTCAGGGAAGAAGCCCTATGTTTGCAGGGAGTGTGGGAGAGGCTTTACCTGGAAGTCAGGTCTCATCACACACCAGAGGACACACTCTGGGGAGAAGCCCTATGTTTGCAGCGAGTGTAAGCGAGGGTTTACACAGAAGTCAGGTCTCATCACACACCAGAGGACACACTCTGGGGAGAAGCCCTATGTTTGCAGCGTGTGCAGGCGAGGCCTTACATGGAAGTCAGGTCTCATCGCACACCAGAGGACACACTCTGGGGAGAAGCCCTAAGTTTGCCGGGAGTGTAAGCGAAGCTTTACATGGAAGTCAGGTCTCATCACACACCAGAGGACACACTCTGGGGAGAAGCCCTATGTTTGCAGCGTTTGCAGGCGAGGCTTTACCTGGAAGATCAGTTCTCACCCGACACCAGAGGACACACTCTGGGGAGAAGCCCTATGTTTTCAAGTGAAGTGAGTGAGTCATTAGCATTAAGTCACATATGGATGGTCATAGGAAGTCCACAGCCCCTTACTCTCCCCAAGATTGTAATTACTATAGAAGTAACTGGCTAAACAAATCCTCCAGTTTGATTACAAGAGACGAAATGGACAGACAGTTCCATAGTGATATGGGGATGTCAGCACCAAACTCGTTACTCTTTTTTTGGACCTATTGTCAAACTTTTTGTCTCTATACACATCTCTCATTTTCCCCATCACTGAAAGCAGAGGGTTCCTAAAGATCCACAAAGAACTCATTCTCTCAGTCACAGAAATTCATCTCCTGCAAATGTGTCAATATGGAATCAGTGTACTTTTGTTACTCCCCAAAGAGAGGGGTTTGAGACAGACACCCGGGAAGGGAATTCCCCAGACTCTTGGAAAGGGCCTTTTCTCCTAATCAGTTCCCTACCCCTCCTCCCTTTCTTTCTCTTGCCTCTTCTGGTTTCCTACAATGTCTGGAGCCTCAGAGGTGAACGGCAGAGAGAGATGGATGCTTGTGCATAGACGTGAGCCGCTCAGTCTGGGCACCTGGTCTTCCTCACTCTCCTTGCTGCCCCTTCAGGGTCAGCATTTGCTGGTGCACAGCGTACAGATTCCACATCAGTCCATAGTGGTGTGAGTCTCAGCTCTGTCTTCTCCAGCTGTGTGACCTGAGGCAAGAGTCTCAACTTCTCTCTGCCTGATCCCAGTTTGTGTAATGGAAATGGGAACTCCAGCCTTTTGGTTTGACATTCAAAGTTGAGTCAGCACAGACAGAATCTGGCAAGAGGATGGCTGAGATTGCAAGTCCTCCTTAACAGCCTTCAATGCCCGTGTCTTCCTGGTCTTTAGTGGTGGACAAAGGAAAAGAAGGACAGGTTAGAGTTCTGCAGCGGAATTCAGAATTTGAGCAGACCCCACTGCTTTCCCCACGTAGACTGAGCTGCCCTGAGAAGGAGGCCTGAGGTGGGGGATATGCCTCCGTCCCCATTACCACCCTGTCACTGAGCCTGGGCACCCTCAGAACCTCCTCAACACAGGCAGGTGCTACTGAGAGTGACCTGTGAAACAAGACCCTAGTGCACCCCTGGCAGAGAACTGACGGGGAGCAGCACCTGCCTGCACTGGTGTGATAGGGTAGATGGTGAGCCAAGGCAGGGAGGATGAGGAAGACATGTCTCACCCACTGAGTCAGCAGTCCTGAGCCTGGTGCAATTGCATTGCCAGATGTTCCAGCAACACAAGAAACACCATGCTAACACGTTGGAATTGTAGGTATCGTTTCCACCATCCGGGATAGAAAGGCTTTGAAACTATTAATCCCAAGGCCTAGAAGATGGAAGGGGGTCTGCAGGACTCAAAGAAAGGACCCATAAAACAAACTTGTCTAATTGCTTGCCTCTGTCCACTATCTGTTTTGTGAGAGGGTGCCTAGTGCTTACAGAAAGAGACCGTAGGTAATTTTGGGTAACTGCCTCAACAAACTGTCTCCTGTCATGGATCTATTTTACAAGAAGGCCAAGTGGGATCAGAAGCGAGATTAGGGTTCAGACTAACAACCCCCACACATACCCGTGTTTGGGTAGTCCATCCCCTTGGAAGCTGGTACCACGTTTATCCACCAACCAATATGTAAATTCCTCTCCCCCACAACCCCACTGTTTCCCCTGGAAACGGAAACCTTTCCCGTTTCCAGACAACACCCAACCCACCAAGCCACACCATTGAGACAGGGCACATCCCTTCGCCATTTTGGTGAATTATCGTGAGAGATCCTACTCTGGTGCACAGCGTCCCGGGACCTGGAAATAGAGATTAATGTGAGGATCAGAATCACTGCTCTCGAGTTGACGAGTGAAGGAGGGAAACCCAGGCACACATGCTTGCGTGTGCATAACACCACACAGAGGTTAGTGCTTTGGAGAAAACTAATGCAGGACAAGTGCCTAGGAATCAGTGTGCAGGGAGGTGCACTGTGGCCGGTGGTCCGGGAAGGGCTCTCAGGAGACAACACGTACAAAAATCTCTGCAGGCAGAGGGAGCAGCTAGTGCAGGGAATAAAAGAGGTGGGGCATTGAATTGGCTGAGGGTCACTCTGCTCTCCTCTCAGCATAGACGGTAAGAACGGCCATCAGACAGATGCTTAGCAGCCCAGCAATGCAGTGCCGATGATCCGAGTGGAGACACTGGGGACTTTCCTGAGTGAAAGTGTGCACTTGTCAGCTGTAGAGTGGTGTGTTCTCGGTGCTGATTACGCTTTGTTAATTCTTAGAAAATAAACTCCCGTGGGGAATTTCCTCCTATTACTTCATCTTCAGGTGAGAGAGCATGGTGGATTGGCCAGAGAGGAACAGGAGTCAGGCGTGTAAGAAAGGTGATTGAAGTATTTTGAAACAGGTCTCAGTGTATTTGAAATGGGCTAACACTAAATGAGATAAAGCATAAATATTTGGTGTGAGGCTTGAGGAAGGACATTTCCTTTTACTATTTTGGAAAACCAAGAGAAGCAATTCCTAGTTGGGGCCTGTGGTTTTCCTCTGAAAGATGACTTAGAGGATACTTATAGATGGGAAAGGTCACTGCAGTTGCATCCACACGGAGTAAAATCGCCTCTCATGCTCCTTAAAGTCCCTAGTCTGGGCAATATGAGAAAAGACCCCTGATGTGGGCTTTCTGGATTTCTGAAGAAGATGCACTGCATAAAAATTACAAGACAAATAGTCGGCGAGTGGATACTGTGGGAGAAAGAGGTCGTGTTATCACCACAGTAAGAAGGATTCATGGGCGGGTCTTACCGGGAGACTAATCATATGGCCCAGGCATTCTTGTCAACATCTGCCCTGACCAAACCTTTCTCTTTCAGCAGAACCAAATCCAGAAGTGCACCCATGTCCCTCCTGCTCTCTGGCCTTCTCCAGTCCGAAATTCCTCAGCCAACACGTGAAATTCAATCATCCCTCCCAGATTCTCCCAGGAACATGTGCAAGAAAACAGCTCCAAGCAGAGGAACCCTGCCCAGAGGATCGGAATCAGCAGCAGCAACATACTAGTACGCACAGCTGGAATGATAAAGCTGAAGGTCAAGAGGTCAATGAAAGGTCCAAGCCTTTGCCTAAAAGGATCAGTCAGAAGCAAACCTCAAGACCCTTTTTCCAACCTTCCAACGAACAAATGAGCTCTAGTGAGTATGAGACAACGATGGAAGAAGAGCCCCACGGAGGCCTGAAAGAGAGTCCAGAGGACACAGGCAAGTTCTTTGTGAAAGTAGGAATGTCAAGAATTATAACAATCGAGCATAGAGGTTGTTGGCAAGGCTTAAATGATGGGTCACATCTCATTACACATCAGGGGGCACACTCTGGGGAGAAGCCCTATGTTTGCAGCGTGTGCAGGCGAGGCTTTACATGGAAGTCAGGTCTCATCGCGCACCAGAGGACACACTCTGGGGAGAAGCCCTATGTTTGCAGGGACTGCAGGTGAGGCTTTACCTGGAAGACAAGTCTCAGCAGACACCAGAGGACATACTCAGGGGAGAAGCCCTGTGTTTGCAGGGAGTGTGGGAGAGGCTTTACATGCCAGACAATTCTTGTTAGACACCAGACAATACATTCAGGGAGGAAGCCCTATGTTTGCAGGGAGTGTGGGAGAGGCTTTACCTGGAAGTCAGGTCTCATCACACACCAGAGGACACACTCTGGGGAGAAGCCCTATGTTTGCAGCGTGTGCAGGCGAGGGTTTACACAGAAGTCAGGTCTCATCACACACCAGAGGACACACTCTGGGGAGAAGCCCTATGTTTGCAGCGTGTGCAGGCGAGGCTTTACCCAGAAGATAAGTCTCAGGAGACACCAGAGGACACACTCAGGGGAGAAGCCCTATGTTTTCAGGGAGTGACGAAGAGGCTTTACATGCAAGACAATTCTTGTTAGACACCAGACAATACATTCAGGGAAGAAGCCCTATGTTTGCAGGGAGTGTGGGAGAGGCTTTACATGGAAGTCAGGTCTCATCACACACCAGAGGACACACTCTGGGGAGAAGCCCTATGTTTGCAGCGTGTGTAAGCGAGGGTTTACACAGAAGATAAGTCTCAGGAGACACCAGAGGACACACTCTGGGGAGAAGCCCTATGTTTGCAGGGTGTGAGGCGAGGCCTTACATGGAAGTCAGGTCTCATCGCACACCAGAGGACACACTCTGGGGAGAAGCCCTATGTTTGCAGCGTTTGCAGGCGAGGCTTTACCCAGAAGATAAGTCTCAGGAGACACCAGAGGACACACTCAGGGGAGAAGCCCTATGTTTTCAGGTGAAGTCAGTGAGTCATTAGCATTAAGTCACATATCAATAGTCATAGGAAGTCCACAGCCTCTTACTCTCCCCAGGATTGTAATAACTATAGAAGTAATTGGTTAGACAAATCCTCAAGTTTGATTACAAGAGACAAAATAGACAGACAGTTCCATAGTGATATGGGGATGTCAGCACCAAACTCGTTACTGTTTTTTTGGACCTATTGTCAAACTTTTTGTCTCTATACACATCTCTCATTTTCCCCATCACTGAAAGCAGAGGGTTCCTAAAGATCCACAAAGAACTCATTCTCTCAGTCACAGAAATTCATCTCCTGCAAATGTGTAATTATGGAATCAGTGTACTTTTGTTACTCCCCAAAGAGAGGGGTTTGAGACAGACACCCGGGAAGGGAATTCCCCAGACTCTTGGAAAGGGCCTTTTCTCCTAATCAGTTCCCTACCCCTCCTCCCTTTCTTTCTCTTGCCTCTTCTGGTTTCCTACAATGTCTGGAGCCTCAGAGGTGAACGGCAGAGAGAGATGGATGCTTGTGCATAGACGTGAGCCGCTCAGTCTGGGCACCTGGTCTTCCTCACTCTCCTTGCTGCCCCTTCAGGGTCAGCATTTGCTGGTGCACAGCGTACAGATTCCACATCAGTCCATAGTGGTGTGAGTCTCAGCTCTGTCTTCTCCAGCTGTGTG